CACACTCAGTCACAGTTTCAACTGAAAAACTGAGCATCCTAGACCAAACTAAATCCAAAAATGTTAGGAAATTCCTGGAAGCTTGGCATTCAGACAAATCAGCCATCAGTAAATACATAGAGATAAGCCACATTCAAGAGACTATTAAAAAAAAGGAAACAAAAGGACCAGAACACATCCTCTCCAGCAACCTATACTCAGATAAGCAGGGATTAACACCAGACCACAAATCAAGCAGAAAACAATAACCTAATCAAAGAACTATCAAAGAGAAAACCATACACCCACAACACTGGCAGGACAAGCTGCTATATATAAACAAGAAGCAAACCCAGTATTCATTAGTGCAGATGATATTACCTAGTCGGGTAATGAAATGTTGCCAGCAAGCAACCAAACTATAGATCTTAAATCTCAATCCTAAATATATATATAATTACTAATAATATATATAAAATTAATAATTATATTATTAAAAATTACTCACAAGTAAATGGCAAAATTACTCCAGTACCTTGTCTTTGAAGCATTTGTAGATTCCCCTCCTGAGTTCTGCAGGAGGATTCTTGGTCAATTAAGATGAGCTCAAATAGCTTATAAGAGGCTAGTGAATTTTAATATCCTTCTAACTTTTTACTCCCCCTTAGGCAGAGTAATATAGCCTCCTTTTAGATTGGGACAATTGCTAATTTCATAGATAAAACCATAGTGCACCATATTAAATTATCTACCCAGTTATTAGAAAACCTCATGATAATTGAAATGATTGATAGGCCATCACTTGGAGTTGGTCCTATGTTGTAAAGTACAACTCCTCTGCAACTAAAAATAAATGATTATACAACATTCTTGTCACTATATTAAATACACAATCCAATAATTCTGAACACATAATTCCTAATTCATAGGTCCACTTGAAGCAAGGGAAGAAAGATCTACTTTCCATGTCAAAAATATCAGTCCTACTATTTGTAAGCATCCCACTCTTCTCCCTCCTGCACTGCTACCTGCATCTTGTTCCCTGCACAAAAAGTACAATGATTTTGCTGATGCTCTGAGGAAAGAGGAAGCAGTTCATTTGCCTCTTCATTTAACTTGTACCATCAACTTGAAGCCCCCAGTCCAGCTCCCAGGCAAAAGGCAACATTCCATATATATTCAAAAGTTTGCTATTTTAAATGAGTTTCCAGACTACAATTTGATGGAAGTTTTCATTTATCCTCCTTTCTACATCTCCAGCCTCTTCAACCCCATTTTTTGCACCAAAGAAAAATAACTCCTGACAGCAGTACACAATTGTTTCTGATGTTTTATTTTTTTGATATGTTGTCTGGAGTGCCGTTTTGTAACAATTCTGCAATTTGTTCATGGCTATTTTGTTGTATTTTGTTTTTTATATTTTTCATTATTTTGTCAGCTGCCAATAGTCAATGGGAGTTGGGCAGCTTTAAAATCAAATTAACAAACAAGTAAATAACATGACACGCTTCCTACTTCTGTAACCATTATAAAACAAAACCTACTGCCTCTTATTTCAGATCTGCTGGGACTGATGCACTTACAATTAGATCAAAATGAATGTGCATTCTGAATATAATAGTGTCTGATACTAAGCCCAGCACATTTGAATGCATAATATGAATTGGTTCATTGTCTGGCTGTCTTCTTCAGGTTCATGAAGAACACATTTTTCAATATTTTGCATAAATAAGTGGTAGTGAATCTGAATAACATCCTGATTCCTTTTCAGAAGATCATCCTTGCATGAGACTCAAATTAGAACTGGCTTAGAGCAAATATATGAACACAATTTTTTGGCTGAGTTGGAAAAATATGTATTTAATTTTCCCTAACTGGAGTATTTGGATTACTTGCCTTGTTCATTTTATTCTTTTTCCAACTGAATGGAATTTTTTTTTTAATAAAAAGCTTCTGGCTGCAAAAGTAGCTTTTAGCAGTTGCAAAAGTAGCTTTTAGCACAGGGCACATTTTTTAGAGGATGCAAACCATCCAGTACTGATACGTGCATATTGCAAAAATGTGGAGCATGTTTACAAATTCACAAAGTTAAGACCTTCAGTCCACATCAGATGACAGGCATAATTTTTCTTCAATTTTTAGAACACTGGTACACTTGACTCATAGAACAACCAGGTGCATCATTATCATTATATTTTTATATATGCCTCCTATTTCCCTACAACAACAATCCTATGTGGTAGGTCGGAATGAGAGAGAGTGACAGGTACAAAGTCACCCAGCCAGGTTTCATGCCTAAGGGGCACCTAGGCTATTAGATTGTAGGCCATCACCTTCACTACTATATCAAACTGACATTTTATGTAAGCCCAAATATCTCTGCCCACCACTCCTTACCATAATTTTGAAGTTGTGCTCCCCTTTCCCCCTTTCCAGCCAGAAAGTTAGAGATTGCAATCTTTCTGAATGGTACAAAAACCTTTCCAGCCTTCAAGGATGGTTCATGACTAAGTTTTCCTAAGTTTCTCGTAACTTCAAATGGCTGTTAAGTGACTGGATGTAAGTCAAACACTATCTATAGCATTCACATACTGCAAGTAGAATGACTTGTCTTGCCAATTGGCCATTGAGTATTCTCTTAGTTATATCTGATCCATTTCATAAATTCCTGGAGTCTGTAGCTACATGTGTCAATAGTGGTCTTCCTAAATTGATTATTTATCAACACAGGAACTTCTATATTTGTCATCTATGCATAAAGGCTAAAAAGATATGGAAACTTTATCACAACACTGAATGGTACTCTTTGTACAGATATTATCAGTATGCCGCATTGAGACTGGTAAATAGTAACTGAATTTTAATGATGAAATGTAAATACCATCAATATTGCAGTTACTTTTACTGTGGTAATTGTGATACAATGATTAGATAAAAAGATATATTGCATTATTATTAGATATATTACATTACATACATTTAAAAAAATCTAAATCCACAGTGGAAGTTAATGATAAACAGACTTAACCCACATTCTTTTCTCACCTTATCTAATCTTAAAACTTACCTCCATAGCCTGTGCCAATCGTTCTTCCAAGGCCATATAAGTAAGGAACTGGGGATCCACATACGAAATTGCTTGAGCAACCCCAAGACCATCCCCAAATTCATCAAGTAGCCTATAGGAAAAGATAGTGTTATTTTTTAATCTCTAAGTAGGGATGAAAACATGTGCAATGATGCTTAAAAGTTTGTTTCTGAATAAATATGACCTTACATGATTAATTTATACATGGTAAAAAAATAAATTTTCTGCTATTTCCTAATCAGGAATGAAAATAAATAGAATGTAAACAGTAAAAGATTAGTTGTTTAATGAGGCTACTTCTAGAATTTCAGGACATTAGTGAACTAAATGACAAACCGAACACAGCCTTGCCAGGAAAACCCATTTATCAACATGAGTTCAGTTCTTGAGGCTGAAATGACAGAGACATAGCAAACTATTTTCTTATTTTGCCTCTCCCATCTCTTTCAGCGTTCTAATTTTCTAACTCTTTCAATTTACTCAGATCTCTCTCAAACAATTAAGCATTTGATCTATGTAAAGCCGGGGTGTCAAACTCGATTTCATTTATTCACATCAGGGTTGTGTTTGACTTCGTTGGGCCAGGGTTGAGGGGCCAGGATGGGAATGGCCAGCTCAATGTCACTCCTGATGGGGGTGCCTGTGGTGGCCTCAGCTCTCTGCCAGCAAAAACGGTCTCCCAAGCTCTGTTTCGGCTGCACGGCCTCCTGCAATCCTCCTGAGCTCCGTTTTCACTGGCAAAGGGTTGCAGGAGGCTGTGGCAGCTAAAAACGGAGCTTGTGAGCCCATTTTCATTGACAGAAGCACTGCGGGCCAGTCCTGTGCTGTTTCCAGGGCGCCCCCGTTGGCCAGATCTAAGTACCCTATGACAATCAGAAGCAAGTGACAACTACTATTAAGCTGAGTTTGGTTCTGATGCCCACCCTTGTCATATATTTCTGATACAACATTAACAAGAAGCTCTTACACCTATCATGGACCAAGGTTTTTTTTTTTAGTTTAGTTTTATTAAACATTTATAGGTTTCATTCTGCAAGACAGAATTATGTACCTAAGATAGCAGAAGAATCTACCAACCTCCATTCAACATCTAGGTCTTCACTCATACTGGAATCATCTTCTAGATTGTTGTTCCCATCTAACATAAAAAAGCCAGGATGAACAAAATGGCTAGCTTGATCATTTTCTTCATCACTGCTACTTTCGATTTCTTCATGGTATTGCAACCAAGGAATCTCTCCATCCTCTAGAGAAGTCTGTTCCCTTTATATAAAAATGAGAAAAGCTATATAAAATATAGCAAATACAAAATTTAAATTACATGTAAGCAAATAGCATAGAAAGTACAGAATCCTTTATTTATGCTGAGTGCTAACAGTCAAATGCCTGCAATCTATTTTCAACAGACATCACTTTAAAAATAATAGCACAGTTCAAAAGCATAGCTAAAATGCGATACTTTATGAATGATATTTATATGTGATATGTATATTTTTTATCTTAAGATACATAACAGCATACAGCACAGCAATAACCTAAAATGTTTATTATGTTTTTTTTAAATAAATAAATAAATATACAGATATCATTTTTGCTGTGATATAGAGAGAATGCAAGACAGTAATTTTATTCTGGTGGGGACTGAAGAAAGAAATACATTTTACTTCTATGGCTGTCCATCTTAGATGCATAATTCTGGACAACTAACAGTTTACAACAACAACAACAACCAATAAATTCCTGTAATAAAACAATGATGTAGTTAAAAACCACCAAAATATTTATATGATCTGAAAAGAGACCAGTGTAAACAAAGACTCTGCACCTGTGGAGAAAGAGTTCCTGAAACCCTAACCCATATACAAAGATTTGCAGTGGCAGCTAATACTGCCCTGTCTAAATTTCCAAGCTGCCTAGATCCTATTTATTTGTAGTTGCTATTATCAAATCAACATTATTTAATTTACTTTTCTTAACATGGTTAAGCTTTGTGTATTAAATAAATATCATGCCAATATTATAATTATTGGGTACTTTTGTGATTATTTCTTGCTGCCTTACACTTAATGTTTTCATTTTGTTTCTAAGCTGATATATTATTGTAATGGGAGCCAGTTTGGTATAATAGTTAAGGCATAAGGCTAAAAACCAGGACACATGAGTTTTAGTCCTGACTTAGGCACAAAGCCAGATCAGTGTCCTTCGACCAATCAGTTTCTCTCAGCCAGAAGGATAAGGAATGGTAAATTCTTCTGAAAAACCTTGACAACAAAACTGTAGGTACTTGATCAGTCTCAGAGAATCAGACACAACTGAACAGAGGAAAATGAATGTAATAAATAAATACAAAGTAAGGTTCTACATTTAGGTAAGAAAAATACACAGGTGCAATAATAACTGTGAGAGGGATCTTGGCGTCCTAGTGGACAATAATTTAAATATGAGCCAGCAGTGTGCAGCAGCTGCCAAAAAAGCCAACACAGTTCTAGGCTGCATTCACAGAGGGATAGAATCAAGATGACGTGAAGTGTTAATACCACTTTATATTGCTTGCTAAGGCCACACTCGGAATACTCCATCCAGTTTTGGTCACCACGATGTAAAAAAGATGTTGAGACTCTAGAAAGAGTGCAGAGAAAAGCAACAAAAATGATTAGGGGACTGGAAGCTAAAACATATAAAGAATGGTTGCTGGAATTTGGTATGTCTAGTTTGATGAAAAGAAGGACCAGGGGAGACATGATAGTAGTGTTCCGAAATGTCAGGGGTTGCCACAAAGAACAGGGAGGCAAGCTATTCTCCAAAGCACCTGAGGGCAGGACAAAAAGCAATGGATGGAAACTAATCAAGGAGAGAACCAACCTAGAACTAAAAAGAAATTTCCTGACAGTTAGAACTATTAATCAGTGGAAGAACTTGCCTCTAGAAGTTGTCAATGCTCCAACATTGGAAGTTTTTAAGATGTTGGATAGGCATTTGTCTGAAATGGTATAGGGTTTCCTGCTTAAACAGAGGGTTGGACTAGAAGACCTCCAGGGTCCCTTCCAACTCTGTTATTCTAGTCTAAAACATCTATCTTTTTATGTAGTTAAATTAGTCCAATACAAAAAGAAACCAAACTATGTTAGAAAAAATAAACAGTGGTGCATTAGATTTTAGGTTGGAGATATATCCGTTAGGATTACCTGGATAGAATTTCAAAAGAAAAGAATTCAATACATGTGGAAGATTTTGAAAATTAGTATTGGATAATACATCCATTTAAATCTGAAAAAAAATGGAAACTACTATGGATGCATAATGAGCTGAAATTTTAAAATAATATATAGGAGAAAGAAGCATGCACATAAATCCAAGTCTTGAGTGTGACACAACAACCTGAATATACAGTACCAAAAGCTCAAAATCAGCTGAAGCTGCAAAAAATATATATTAAAAATGGACCAAACAAAAGAAAACAAGGATTAAGTAGATTTGCTGCTTGAGAAAGCGAAACATCAATTTGTAAGCAAAAGGCTGAAATTATCATATTCTATTTTGCAAGATGAAACTTTTACTAGCTACTGTAGTACTCACACATTTCTGAATCCTTTTGAATAATATTTGTGTAAATATGATCTAAAAATCTGTTTTCCACAGAAGTCCTAAAACTAGATAAAGAGAATCTATTTATACAAATGAATGAAAAAGTATACATGTTCATTCATTTCTTGAGAAAATGATCCAAAAGACTAAAAGTCTAAAAAGGTTTAATCAATTTGAGATTTTGTTTTGATAAATCTGCAGATTTTCCCTATTTTTGTATCTGAATGTAATATAACATTTGATAAAATTAAATAATCTGTATTATTATTCTAAATATGACTTTGCACTAAGGCCAAAATATTGTAAGCAAGATAGTAACATTAAAAATAAGATCAGTATTTTTAACTATTTTTAGACTAGCATTTTGGACTAAGCGTCTTTACTTCTCGAGTGGGAAGTATGCATTCCAATCTAGATAGACAAAGATCAACTGATTCTAATGTACTTTCCCCTAAAAATGTTGATATCATATACATGCTTACTATCTGTGTTCCCATAAATGAATCTTCATATTTTCACTATTCATTAAGATTTATATTCTTTAACAGCAACAAAAATTAAATCATTAAGGGAAATCATTGACTTTAGGGACACCATGTTACTATATGATTAAAGTCTTGTCACAAAAATGACTTGTTAACTTGCAGTTAGCACTTTTTAAGGAAGTGCTGCACTTCAGAGAAAAGCAGCTCAGAAAGAGATTGTTTGTTTAGGCAATCTCTTCACTCTGTGAGGGAAGATTTAAAAAATGGGTCAGGCACAAAAGAACAATGCCAAATTGATTCTAATGGCAAATATGTGATGGAAAGAGAGAGATGTTGCAAAGGTAATAAATGTGGACATTGAAAGCAAAGTTACATTTTCATCTTTAAAACTCCAAATATTTGCTGACTGAGGAAGTTGCTAAACGAGGTCTGCCTGAAGTATTGTGATATTTCAGAATGCATGTGAAGCAATTCCCTTTGTTTTACCCAAAACAAGAATGCAAGTTTCTCCTTTTTAGTTTATTTTCTAAAGTGTTTAAATGCTTTAAAATACTGCGCTGGTTGCTATTTTGGCATTTATGACAATTAAATAAATGGCCAAAAAGCGTAATAGTATACACCAGAGAGAAAAAGCAAGACAGTAGTATATATATATATATTACATAATTCCTTGTTAATTACTGAGGAATATAACAAGAGTATAATATATTGTACAAATATATTTTATGGAAGCCTAAATCTTTGTGTGATGGTAATTCTCTTATGAATTATTCCTTCAGTTACATTTGCCATTTTGTAAACCAGTCTCATTTCATGTAGTGATGGGCCTAGTGAAAAGTTAAAGATACAACCCTATACCATAAACCAGTTTTAATGAGCACCCAGCTGGTTATTCTAGAGTCAGTTGTAGTGAAATAGATTTAGTTTGCTGTGCTTTCTTATGCTTGTGCACAGCTCCTTCGTTTAGTGTTTTTTTAGAATCCTTTTAGATTTTTGTTTTAGATTTTTAGCTTTTCATATGTAATAACTTATTCTGATATATTTTTATGCTTTTTAACTCTATCCCACCCTCTTATGCTGGTCTTTGCCTATAATAAAAAGACTTGATTTGATTAGTGCATAAAAGGATTTAGCCTTTTATTCCACAGCTGTTAAGCTTAATGAAAAGTCTTTAAAAGGGGACATTATCTAAGGCTTTTTGAAAAATCTAAGCAGACAGTTCCTATTGGTTCATCCTTCCACATGCTTAACAACACCCTCAAAAACCTCTGTTCAATTAATTAGATAAGACTTTCCCCTAGAAAACCCATGTTGGGTATTCTTCAACAAGGCCCGTCTCTCCAAAAGTTTGGTAATTTTATCCTTAATAGCGGTTTTCATTAACTTCCTTAGAACAGATGTTAAACTGACAGACCTATAATCTCATTCATCTCCCTGTGAGGCATTCTTAAAAATAAAGAGTTACATTAGCTAACTTTCCAGTCCTTCACCTCAGAGCCCAAGTATAAAGACAAGTTACATATTTTAGTTAGTAGGTCTACAATTTCAATTTTAAACTCCTTAATAATCCTTGGGTGGGTGCCATTCAGGCCTGGTCCTTTTTGAAATGTTCAATTTGTCAATAAGATCTAGCACGTCTGTTATCACCAATATATATCTGATTCTTTCCCTGAAAACAGAAACACGGGTTTAGGAAAGAGATTGGGCAAAAAGCACCCTTTCTGAAGCTGTCATAACTTGAATAGTGGTAATTGTTTGTAAGTTGAGGACTACCTATGCAAGTTATATATTTATTTAAATTTAATATATGTTTAGCCTGTTTAAATATATTTTGAAAATTCTATTTTAAGTTTTTGTTATGTTAGAGTTTTTAAGAAAGAATATTTTAAATTTGATTTTTAGTCCTCCTTCTCACTCAAGGGTGTTCTGATTCTATCGCTGTTGCTAAGGTTAGAAAGATCAGCAGCTAGCTCAAGTCAGGAAAGCATTCCAAAATTGTATTAAACACATCTTCTCCTTCAAAATCTTATACATAATTCCTTAATCCATACACCTCCCTTTATGATCAATTTCCACTCAATTTCTGTGTTTCTCCTTTGCTCTCAGTAACACTGTATATATACAGTATAATATAATGTAGTAGTACACAATATAAACATTTGTGTATGTACATTTTCTACATTGTGTGTAGATTATATAGTGCATAGTTTTTTGTTTATAAAATAGCAGTTTTGGACTTCCGGGGCGGGATTGCTGATGGCGGCAGCTTAACGAGCTGCCCCCGGGTTTCTGGCCGCGTTATCTGCCTAAATACCTGGTAGATA